GATAAGAAAGTTCTTACAGTTCTTTCTTCTTAACAATCTTTTCATTCTTCATTTATAGAATAACTTCTTCTTATTTTCATTCTTCAGTATGTCTGTAAGAACTAAGAAGATTCTTATGAATACAAAGATAAATCATCTATAGAAATTCACAAAGCTCAGAAAGATCTGAATCTTATAAATACTAGTTAACTTCAGTTATAATAGAATAGTCTTAATTTATGAAGATTTCATCTAAATACTATCTACAGTGATTACATATTCTAGGAAATTAATTCAGCAGATACTGAAGTTATACTTTATAAGCTTAATATACAGTTCTGTCTCATCTAAAATCTTCAATATACTTTGTATATACTCAGTATGTTCTTTCTTCTTTATAAAGTACATCATCACATTATTTAGATATATTATTACAAAGACATTCAGATATATATAAAGTATTTTATTAATAAAAGACTGAAATACTGTAGAGATATTAGTCAGATTAAAAGATATTACTAAATATTTAAATAATCTCAGTGCAGTTCTAAAGATAGTCTTTTATTCATTCTCAGACTGTATTTGCAGCTATATATATATATTAATCACATTCAGTTGTGTGAATATGACAGCTTCTGTGAGATGATTAATCACATTCTCAATCAGAGATAGAAAATAGTAACTCTTTATTATCTTAAAGTTTAGATTATAGTAATCTATATATAATCTGAGATCTTCATTCTTCTTCTTTATAAATATCACAGAGGCTTTCATAGAGATCTGTGAAGATTAGATAAAGTTATTCTTCAGATTCTTCTTTATATAGATCTGTAAGACCTCTGTTTCATAATAAGAGAGTTTATAGATTAGTTTTTAAAAGAGTTTCTACTCTTTTATTAAATCTATTATCAGATTCTTCTTACAGTGAGAAAGAAGCTCAGCTGTCTTTACTGAGCTGAATATCTCTGTAAGATCTTAGTATTTCTTTAATATCTGAAGCTCAGTTTTCATAACTGTGAGATTCTCAGACACTTATAAAGTTATTATATAAATAAGCTTGTCTTCTCTAATCAACTCTGCAGTATTAACTGATTCTATCTCTATAAGTAAGTCTATCAACACTGATTAGAAGTATAAACCTGACTTATAAACAGCTATGTGCAGATTATATCTTTAAAGTTATACAAGTCTCAAGTACATGTTATCTACAATATTTATAATAATCAGAGTTTCTGTAAATCTTCTTCAGATTTCAGAGAGATCTTGTAATTCAAAGATAACTCTTATAAGTTTCTCAGTTCTCAGATCTGAGTTCTCACACTCTGTTTATTATAAGAGCAGATTCTCAGTCTTTATCTTTCAGCTTATTCACTCTACAAGCTTTAAAAACATCATAGTAATCTGAGATTCTGAGTTCATCAATACTTTCTATACTTGTGAGATAGTAGTATCACAGTGTAATCTCTTTCTATAAGTAAGTATTTTCATCAGAGAAGTAACAGATTCAGATATCAGTTTCAAGACTCTTAAGAAGGCTGTTACTAACTCTGTCTATAACTTTTCAAATTTCTATTTTAATTTATCTGAACAGTTTACATGAAGATGTTCTAATTTAGAATAGATAAAGCAGAGTCTCTTTTTCTTAATCTCTCTGTTATACACTCTATTTATAGAAGCTTATGAAGCTTTTTCTCTCTACTCAGCAGTCAGATATGAATCTCTCTATATCTTATTATCTTTTTCTAATAAATCTGTTCTCTGTTATTCTGATTCTTACAGAACTAATTAGTAATTCACTCTTTACAGATCTGTGACTCTCACAGTGATTTATAAGCAGTGAATAAGAGTCATCAGTTTCTTCAGAGTTAAGAACTTAGAGTCTTACTCAATGAGCTTATTCTACATATCTTTATTCAGTCTTTTTATAAATATTATTATTCAGATCTTATTTCAGAGCTCTGTTTTCACAGATCTCAATTCACACTATAATTTCATGAAGTATTATAAGTAGTCTTTATCAGATTCTTTATCTCTTTTTCTAATATTAATGATCACAGCTCAGATATTCTCTATTCAGCTCACAGAGTCTTTTAACTTATTCTCTAGATAGATCTTGAGAATGAATTAGTGAGATCTCTCATAATTATTCTTTAAATGATTTAGTCAGTTCTTGACTTCAGTGTAATAGAGATCTGTTATTATATAGATAATAGCTTCTTCATCTTTTATATCACACAGTCAGGCTTGTAAGTTAATTTTAAATACAAACTTGTAAAAGCTTTTATAGATTGTGATTTGATAAGTAATCTTAAGTGATTGCAGCTTAAGAAAGTTTCTTTTCAGTTTATAGATATCTCTGAAGATCATGTCTAGAGACTTGATTTAAGAGTGTTTACAGACAGTAAGCATTTCTTATAGAAAAATAGCTTAATTCTATGAGAGATACTCAAGAATATTCTTCACTGAGATTGATTTATTCATGAGTTCAGAGAGTTTCTCTGTCACAGATATAGAGAATGATATTCTGTGAGTAATTAATAAGTTCTCTGAGACTTCTTTTATGAAAATTATTCATGATTTGAGTGACTGCTTCTGAGTGCCTGCAGTAGAGTTCATAGAGATTGAAGTATATAAGTTTCTAGTTCTTTCAGTTATAACAGGCAGTTGCTGACTGACTGAGCTTGAAATGTAAGAATAAGTGCTTACAGACAATTATTCAGGTATTTGCAGCTTGACATGATATATACTGTTAACTACTAGAAGTATTCATGATAGAAAGATAAAATGTAGAAGTTAAATATATAATAGCATTCAAGCTGAGTTATAAATAGTATTTATGAACTCCAGTCTATATAGTTGTGTGTAGCCAAGGGCCGCTAGCCCTATTAATTATGCAAGAGATAGGAATAGAGGTAAAGAATCCGCAAGAAGCGGAATTTCTTATAATAAAGCATGTTGAACAGCATTAAAGCATGTCCTACATTATATTAAGAAGATGAAAAATCATGACATATTATATAAGAAGAAGATAGAAGATGATCTGAGTTCTGTGACATACTATGATTCAGACTGAGTGAGAGTGAATTCTCAATACAAATTAACTACTGACTATATTATATTGATTAACAGGTCACTGATCTCATAATGATCACAGAGAGTTAGAGACAGACATCTATTATTAAATCAATCACAGAAGCTGAATATATTGCAGCTAGTGAGACAGCTTGTGAGATAATCTGATTGAATGATATATTATATGACATCAGATTGATGAATGATGAAAAAGTAAAAATATACTCACATCTATAAGTTGATAATAAGGAAGCAATTAATCTAGCAAAGAGAGAATCTCTAACATGAAAATCATATTATATTGAGATTAGATATTATATTCTCTGCAATTTGATTGAAAAAAAGAAAATCATGATGAAATATATTGATTCTATAGTGAACATAGCTGATGAACTTACCAAGTCACTGATGAAGCCTGCATTTGAAGAATTTGTCAAGAGGGTTGGCATTCAGAAAATTGAGAAGAAGAAATGATTGAATGGTAATAATGATACAGCAGATCAATGAATTTTGCATGTATTTCTTGATTTTTACAGTTATTGCTGTACAGATGTCTTTCCTAATGAGGAAATCAGGATCTGATTCATGTAATTAATTATTATTGCATTTTTGAAAGATTTGAGGATGGGGGAGGCCCCGGGTGGCGGCTTATTATAGGCCACGGCGTAGCAAGGGGGGGTGTTGGTGATTACTACACCTACCCTAGTCACGTGCCACCCCAACCTATTTAGTGTAACTCGCGTAGTTAGATTACAATACAACACAACAACGTTATCCTCCACCCGCCATATGTTGAGCAGCCACCGATCGGGTAAGTTACTGGGTACAGCGATTGTTATATCTTTCTTGCTTGTACGCAGTAGTTAGATTATTATTTACAGACCAACAACAACAGCAATGCTTCTTATATAGCTTCGGTTTTCTCTCTTTTTCTTTTTTCATTATTTTTGCTTTCTTCAGAAGAGCCGTCTTGCTAACTACTTGGCTTATTAAGCCAATCAATCCAATGCAATCCAGCCAGGAGGAACCTTGGAATCCCCGCTTGCTTCGAATAGTTAGTTATATGTAAATGATGATGATGATGATGATGATATCATGGGCAGTTTCTCGCGACGGCTGAATCCGGTAAAGTGCCGTGTCGCCGCTTTTGACCAGACACCGCGAGATGAGATGGTTGGTTAGTTATTTTAGTTTTCTTCCAATCATCATCCAAACCACAGGCACGCTCTGTTGATAGCGTGAACTTACTTAGATTCCTTTATTATTATTATTATTATATTATTATTAATAATCTTAGTAGCGAGTTTCTCAAGGAAGGAGGAGGAGGAGATGTATCACAAGGGCTGATCAAACAATCCCTTTTCTTTCTCTTTTCTCTTTTCATCTGCATGTTATAACTAAGTTACGCAGTAGTTAACTTACCGTACCCAGGTATTATTTCGTAGGCTGAAGTTAAAGGGCGACAGCAAGGGCGTTGACCTAGCACCGGTTCATCTCAAGGGAAATAATGCCTCTTCACTCTTTAATTGAATCGGAACGATGATATCAGGAGCCGTGCCCTGTCTGTCTGTCTGTCTGCTGGGAGGCTGTGGACGGACTTCTTTATCAAATGCAGGCGTCGTTGTTGTTAACAGAGATAGCTTGGCACTAGGGCAACTTGTTGTAGCTAACTAACTAGTAACTAGTTAGTTAATGAGCGAGCAGGCAGGTATAACTAGCCAACGCTTCAACAATAATGCGCGATGAGGGTATGAAATGGAACGAAGATGATATTAATTGCATTGTACAAGTACATACCTACTTACTGCGTACGGTGTGGGTTGTAGTTAACTAACTTAGTTACACGGGTTACGCTGAAGAGAAATTGCGTGATGGTGATGATGATGATAAAGCGGCGGCACAAAGGGCGCCCCTCCACCCGCCCGCATCCCTCTCCCCCCCCAATCCATCCCATCCCCATACAATAATATTAAATGTTGCAACTTATGTACATACCATACATGTACAGTACATCCATCCATACAACTATCTATTATAACTTACTCCCCGTCACCGCCAACCGCCCACCACCGCCGCCAGCCGCTTGCAATTGTCCCGTTCCCGTCGTGATTCAACCACAAACTGCTGCGAAGCTTCGTCTGCTCCTGTTCCTTTATTCTCTCTGTTCCTTTATTCTCTGCCCGATTGGCTGTGTTCTCCAGCTTGTGTGTAAAAAGGTTCTGTTGTATGTTATAGTATAGTAGTAGGTAGTAGTGCGTGCTTCTTATTTACCCGGGTGCTGCGTTCTACCCCTCCCTCCTCCCTACTTCTCTCTCTCCCCTTCCCCCCCCAACTATTTCCAAGGTCCAACTCGTTTCATTTCTAATTCCTCTGCCCAGTTCATTCACTATTCCCTTGAATAAGAAAAATAAAAGAAAGAAAGCTCTTTCAACCCTTCAATTGACTCTTCTCGTGCTTCTGCTAACTAACTTCGTCCCTTCTTCCTTAGGTCCTATTCCAAAAACCGTGCAAGAGAGTGTGTGTGGTATAAATTTTTTTTTTTTTGAAGGGGCCCAGGATAGAGCGTCTTCCTGCTCCTCCTCCCGTCCTCATCCGCCAAATCCTCCTCTAGCTGACGCCCTCGATCACCGTGAATCCCCGTTCGCAATGACGAGTGTTCTCTCAAACCTCTCGCGAGCCGAGCAGCAGGCTCTCCCGGGTGAGCAGGTGGACGAGCAGGTGGAAGATCATAGCCGCCATCCGGCCCAGCACTCCGTCCATGGCAGACTACGTGCCAGCTCCACCATCATGCGATTCAACAAGATCCTCGTCGCCAACCGTGGAGAAATCCCCATTCGCATCTTCCGAACTGCTCACGAGCTCTCCCTGCAGACTGTCGCTGTCTACAGCTACGAGGACAGACTGAGCATGCACCGCCAAAAGGCTGACGAGGCCTACGTTATTGGCAAAAGGGGTCAATACACCCCCGTGGGTGCCTATCTTGCTGGCGATGAGATTATCAAAATTGCTGTCCAGCACGGCGTTCATCTCGTCCACCCCGGATACGGCTTCTTGTCCGAGAACGCGGAGTTTGCCCGGAACGTGGAGAAGGCTGGGTTGGTCTTTGTGGGCCCGACTCCAGACACCATTGATGCGCTGGGAGACAAGGTTTCAGCCCGACGGCTAGCCATTGAATGCGGTGTACCCGTCGTCCCCGGCACCCCGGGCCCCGTCGAGAAATTCGAAGAGGTCAAGGCATTCACGGATAAGTACGGTTTCCCCATCATCATCAAGGCTGCCTTTGGTGGTGGTGGACGTGGTATGCGAGTTGTCAGGGAACAGGAGACCCTGCAAGACTCCTTTGAGCGCGCGACCTCCGAAGCCAAGTCCGCGTTTGGCAATGGTACCGTCTTCGTGGAACGCTTCCTGGACAAACCAAAGCACATCGAAGTGCAGTTGCTGGGCGACAACCATGGAAACATCGTCCACCTGTACGAGCGCGACTGCAGTGTCCAACGTCGCCACCAAAAGGTCGTCGAGGTTGCACCAGCCAAGGACCTGCCCGTCGACGTCCGCGACAACATCTTGGCCGACGCCGTGAGGCTTGCCAAATCAGTTAACTACCGCAACGCTGGTACCGCGGAATTCCTTGTCGACCAACAGAACCGCTATTATTTCATCGAGATCAACCCTCGCATCCAGGTCGAGCACACTATCACTGAAGAAATTACTGGAATTGATATTGTTGCTGCGCAGATTCAGATCGCAGCGGGTGCTTCGCTCGAGCAGCTAGGTTTAACTCAGGACCGTATCACAACTCGCGGCTTCGCTATTCAGTGCCGTATCACAACCGAGGACCCCACCAAGGGCTTCTCCCCTGACACTGGCAAGATTGAAGTTTACCGTTCCTCTGGCGGGAACGGTGTGCGTCTAGACGGAGGCAACGGCTTTGCTGGCTCCATTATCACCCCACATTACGACTCTATGTTGGTTAAATGCACTTGCCGTGGTTTCACCTATGAAATTGTACGACGCAAGATGCTACGTGCCCTTATCGAGTTCCGCATCCGGGGCGTCAAGACCAACATCCCATTCTTGGCATCCGTTCTGACCCATCCAACCTTCATCGATGGTACCTGCTGGACCACCTTCATCGACGACTCGCCTGAGCTCTTCTCTATGATTGGTAGCCAGAACCGTGCCCAGAAACTGCTGGCCTACCTTGGTGATGTTGCCGTTAATGGTAGCAGCATCAAGGGCCAGATCGGTGAGCCCAGGCTCAAGGGTGATATCAGCATGCCCATTATCATTGATGAGAACAACAAGCCTGTTGATGTATCCGTTCCTTGCTCGCAAGGATGGAAAAAGGTCATCGATGAACAAGGGCCAGCTGGATTCGCCAAGGCCATTCGCGCCAACAAGGGCTGCTTGATCATGGATACGACCTGGCGCGACGCCCATCAGTCATTATTGGCTACCCGCGTGAGAACGGTTGATTTGTTGAACATCGCCAAGGAGACCAGCTACGCGTACAGCAATGCTTACAGTTTGGAGTGCTGGGGAGGTGCTACCTTTGACGTGGCTATGAGATTCTTGTATGAGGATCCATGGGATCGACTGCGGAAAATGAGAAAGGCCGTGCCCAACATCCCCTTCCAGATGTTGCTGCGTGGTGCGAATGGTGTTGCCTACTCCTCGTAAGTTGAAAATATCTTTTCCCGGTTGTCAATCTATCATACATATTATTATTTCATTTCTTTCTTATTTCAGAAACTAATTTGTGACTCCTCGTCACGACCCAGGCTTCCTGATAACGCCATCTACCATTTCTGTAAACAGGCCAAGAAGTATGGTGTAGATATCTTCCGTGTTTTCGATGCTCTGAACGATATCGATCAGCTTGAGGTTGGCATGAAAGCCGTTGCCGCCGCTGGCGGTGTTATTGAAGCTACCATTTGCTACAGTGGCGACATGTTGAATCCAAACAAGAAATACAACCTGGACTACTACCTTGGCCTAGTTGATAAAATCGTAAAGATTGGAACCCATGTTCTTGGAATTAAGGACATGGCGGGTGTGTTGAAGCCTCAGGCCGCTACCCTTCTTGTTGGATCCATCCGCAAGCGATACCCCGATCTCCCTATCCATGTGCACACTCACGACTCCGCTGGTACTGGTGTCGCATCCATGGTTGCCTGTGCCCAGGCTGGTGCTGACGCAGTCGACGCTGCTACTGACAGCATGTCCGGAATGACCTCCCAACCCAGCGTCGGTGCCATTCTTGCGTCCCTCGAAGGCACTGACCTCGACCCCAAGCTCAACATCCGCAATATACGCGCAATCGACTCATATTGGGCACAATTGCGCCTTCTCTACTCGCCCTTCGAGGCTGGGCTGACCGGCCCAGACCCCGAAGTCTACGAGCACGAGATCCCCGGTGGCCAGTTGACCAACCTGATCTTCCAGGCCCACCAGCTCGGTCTGGGTGCCCAGTGGGCTGAAACCAAGAAGGCTTACGAGCAAGCCAACGCCCTGCTTGGCGACATCGTCAAAGTCACCCCGACATCCAAGGTTGTCGGCGACCTGGCCCAGTTCATGGTCTCCAACAAGTTGACGCCCGATGACGTTATCGCCCGCGCGGGTGAACTTGACTTCCCCGGCTCTGTTCTAGAATTCTTCGAGGGCCTAATGGGCCAGCCATACGGCGGTTTCCCCGAACCACTGCGCTCTCGCGCCCTCCGTGGCCGCCGCAAGCTCGACAGCCGACCCGGTCTGCACCTGGAGCCGCTCGACCTCGGCAAGATTAAGAACGACCTGCTCGAGAAGTACGGCACGGCGACCGAATGCGACGTGGCCAGCTACGCCATGTACCCCAAAGTCTTCGAAGACTATCGCAAATTCCTCGCAAAAATACGGCGGCCTCTCTGTGTTGCCGCCAAAATATTTCCTCCCGCGACCGCAGATCGGGGGAGGAATTTTCCGTCGAGCTGGAGCAGGGCAAAGTGCTTTTTCTCAAGTTACTGGCCGGGGGCCCCTTCTCCGAGCAGACCGGCCAGCGCGAGGTTTTCTCCGAGATGAACGGCGAGGTGCGACAGGTTGCGGTGGATAATAACCTTGCTGCGGTTGATGATACGAGCAGGCCCAAGGCAGTTTTGAGCGATAGTACCCAGGTTGGCGCCCCGATGAGCGGTGTTTTTTTTGAGATCCGCGTCCCCGAGGGGTTGGAGGTGAAGAAGGGAGATCCTCTTGCTTTTCTCAGCGCGATGAAGATGGTATGCTTCCCCCCCCCCCCCCCCCCCCCACCCCATTCTTCCCCTAGTCTTCTATCCACCCATCCAGATGATCTAAGCATGCATTCATTCATGTATTCATTTACTTTACTAACCCCTCGATTCCTCCGCAGGAAATGGTCATCTCCGCGCCACATCATGGCGTCGTGTCCAGCCTTGAAGTCAAGGAGGGTGATTCAGTCGATGGACAGGATCTCATCTGTAAGATTGTGAAGGCTGCTTGATTTTTACAGAAAAGCACAAAAGAGAGAAAAACGGAGAAAACAAAAAGTGAAAACCAATAACCAAAAAGCGAAAAGTACCCCTCACTCAACGTCCTCTTATATATATATAGCCTCCTTAACGTGTTTCTGCTTGTAGCTCTTGTGGCTGTTCCAGCTTCTGGGCTTTTCTGTTCTCCTGTATTTTTTTTTCTTTTTTCTTTTTTCTTTTCATTTTATTCTTATATATGAAATTCATCATTCACTTTATATATTACATTTACCTCTAAATGAGGCCCGTTCCATTTTTTATTGACGAGGATGGGCGGATTCCACCCCTTCTCCTGTGAATTTGAATAAAAATTATTGGAGTTTTACCCGTACCTATAGATCTCAGCCCTGTGAGTCACGTGACTATAAAATTGGCGTGAAACCTTATTTATGCTTGCAAGCGGCAACCATCACGTTCAACATCAACAGCTTGTCTCCGAATAGTAATGTTAGCAACTAAATACCGCTCTATCCACCATGCAATTGTAGCATAAAAGGCCATGACCTAACAAAGACTACGTCAGTCTCTACCACCACCGTTTAAAACTTCTATAGTAGCAGTCAATGCGAGCGGGACATTCTCCTCAAACGAACTAAAAACGCCCTAACTCACCCGTCCAAACAACCACTTCAACACCACCACCACCACCACCACCAAAGCAAACAAGCCATGGGCTCCGTCGTCCTCCCCCACCTCACCACAGGCTGGCACGTGGACCAAGCAATCCTCTCCGACGAAGAGCGGCTCGTGGTCATCCGCTTCGGGCGCGACTGGGACCCAGACTGCATGCGGCAGGACGAGGTACTCTTCCGCATCGCCGACCGGGTCAAGAACTTCGCCGTAATCTACGTCTGCGACATTGACCAGGTGCCGGACTTCAACCAGATGTACGAGCTCTACGACCCGATGACGATCATGTTCTTCTTCCGCAACAAGCACATGATGTGCGATTTCGGGACGGGGAACAACAACAAGCTCAACTGGGTGCTGGATGATAAGCAGGAGCTCATTGATATCATTGAGACGATTTACAAGGGCGCGAAGAAGGGGAGGGGGTTGGTGGTTAGTCCCAAGGATTATTCGACGAGGTATCGGTATTAAAACGGGGCCCACCACCCGTGTGTGCGTGTGTGTATTATGTGGTCGTCAAGCCTAGGACAATGGAATTTGTGGGTACGGCACTAACAGTACATTACTAGAAGAGTGGAAGGGAAGGGTGTTGTTGTGCTGCTGCACTCTGGAGTTACAAGGTGTTTTGAAAGCGATTCTTTTGCGTTTTATTATGATGTTAATGACTTCATGGGAAAATCAGAGCTTGGGGGGTTGAGCTGGTGCTTTGATTAATAGAATACCATAAGAGCAAGGCAATATGTGATGAGTCTCATATGATATAGTTTTTTTTTTTTTTTTTTTTTTAATAATAAATAAAAAAAGAATGATGATGAATTTATTCGTAGAAGCCAGAAAATTCAGTTCTTAGTTTATATACAAACAAAAAAATGATTTGAATACTTGAAGCATCAATAGAATACTGATCTCAGTTGAGCAACATTGATATATAACTTACCTTTGTGTGCTTGTGAGCTGAGATTATTTAGCAAGAACTTTTGGAAGATATGAGTTTTGCGAATAACCCCTGACCGGAACAAGACTGCTCGAGCGCCTTGGCCAATCTCTCCATTTCTCAGACAATTCCCGGCTCTGAAACGAATGGGGATAACACAATTCATTAGCACAGTCACCTTGGTTATCTAAGCTTTGCACAGCATTTGACACTCAAGCGTTCTTGCTAGACAGCCGAGATGTTAAACGGTATACACTATTGCACTACTACTGAAAACTTGCTACTGTGATATCCATGACGTTTCTGTTCCTGTTGTGCCGAAGCCGGAGGGTAACTTACGATAAAGTTGATTGGTACTAGTCCAGTTCAAATAACCTTGCAAGTTGAATTGAACTGTTGGACGTCTGAGTTGTTGTTCTATTGGCAATTAGCAAGCTATCTACGGAGTATGGAATCGAACTTCCGGATAGTAGTAGTAGTAGTAGTAGTAGTAGTAGTAGTAGTAGTAGTAGTAGTAGTATAGACTTTCTGACCAACGATGGATTCACGTCTGGAGTGATGATGGTGGTGATGTTCCCAAGAACTAGAGCTGAGGAGGATCACATCTCCTTTTTTATAACTAAAGAGTAAATAGCAGATAAACAAACAAAGAGGAAGTGAAAATCGGAGGGAATGAGAGTGCTTCTTGTTGGAACTTGGAGGAAATCATCAGAGTAGAAGAGTGCACATATAAGGAATGAAAGAACTCGCTCGTAGAGTCAGTCATAATACATAGATAGCTATTAAGAGGACTCTCTTTGTTATTATTAGCTGGTATCCATGCCGGAAAAAATCTCGTTACGGGACTCGAAGATGGAGCCTTAGAGTGAGGAAGCGTCAATCGGAAGTTAGAATGTATTGCATAGTAGGGAGGATTCGATTGGTGACAGCGATCTTGGAGAAGGCCAGGAAAATACTTCAAAAAACAATGCTCGACTCCCACGAAGACACCAGAATGAGACAGAGAGAGACGAGGTTGTATAAATGGTTCCAAATGCCAAACCACACTTAGAGAAGGGCTTTCTACTTTTTGAGCCAGTTCGAAATCCGATCCATGATGAGGAATTTGGAGCCGAATTTTCTGTTGTAAAGCCCGGGAAGGGCAGGAATGGCCACCAAATATCAAAAGGTCACTCATAGAGAACGCGAGGAGCATTAGAGATAAGTAAAGAAGAAAAAGATAGTTCAAATACATTTAGTTTTTAAAAGAAGTAATTGATGAAAAAGAACTGAATGAGGTGGGGAAAAGTGGTGTGAAAATAAAGGTGAAAAGGAATACAGCCAGAGGAGGGAGGAATGGAACAAAAAAGGAAATGAGAATGAAATAGAGAAACTGAAGAAGACAGGACTAAAAAAAAAAAAAAAAAAAAAAAAAAAAAAAAAAAAAAAACATAAGATCAAAGCAGAGCAGAAATAGGTTTAAGGGCTACATGAGAAAGGAATGCCCCCTCCACGCAACCACCATAATCCCTATCGTCCCTGGGAATAACAAGGAAAAAAACAGTTGCCGTTTCATGGAAAAGGTCAAGAAACAGAGCAACATCCCGGCACCCATTCTACCCTTTTTTTTGCGTGTATGTTTCTTTACAAAAAATTCAAAAGTGTTAGCTAGTTACACAACTTTTTTTTTTTTTTTTCCAAGTCAAATCAAAAAGGCCGGAATCCAGTGGGTTGTGGCGTGATGCCGTTCGTATGGCCAAACGGAACCGGACTAGTAGATGGAGGTGCCGCCGCGGGGCCTTGGGTGAGCATAAGTCGCGATCCGCCTAGGACTGGAGTGTTGTCTTCTTCTTTTTGCTGGGAAGCTTCGCGGGCCTTGCGTTCTTCGTTGTCCTTCTTGAGCAACTCGACGGTGCGCACTTGTTGGCTGAGGAGGTTGATCATGTAGGGCATGGAAAAGTCGGTCAGGCCGTGGCGCCAAGAGATTTCCATGACTACGTCTGGTCGGATGAGGTCATAGCAGGCGTAAAGCATGCCGACGTAGCATTCTCGGCTACCGATATCAACAAACTAAAAGAAAGGTTTTGAAGTAAGTAAATTGGTTTGTGGTACATTTCGTAGGGAAGGAAATGTTCCCAACTGAAAATACTTACGTATCGTAGCAGCTCCTCCACAACTTCAGTCTTTCCGGAGATAGCAGCAGTCTCGATTGCATCTTTGAAGAGTTTGTCTTGTTTCGAAAGAGAAATCGATTTCTCCCATCTCTTGTTCTTGCGGTAGATGCTGGCGGCAATTTGTCTGAAGAAGACAAGGTCATGCTTTTCAAGTCTCTGCGCTAGCTCCACGGGATCGTAGTTATCATAGTTCTCCACCGAATCTCGCAAGGTCTTGTAATCTTCCTCTTCTATCAATAGATCATTAATAGCATTATTGACGGCCTTCTTATTCTGCGGTTGTACGTTAAGCAAGAACGGTTTGATGAGAGGAATGTTATCAGATTTCTCAAACATGCGAACGACACGGTTGACATCGATCCGTGGAGTGAGGGCTTGGAGCAAGTCAGTCAGTAGTAGGGGCTGCTCCTGAAGGTAGAAGTTCAACGCGCGGTAGTAGATTTCGAGGTTAGCAACCTTGACGATGATGTCTTTGAAAGAATGGTGCTCCCAAGAGTCAGCGGCTCTCTCCATCATTGCTAGGGCGGCATTATCCCATTCGTCATAGTGGCAGTACAAGAACACCAGCTCCGGCCATAGGTTTGCCTCCTCAGAGGCTCGGATCATCTTGGGAATGTTGATTCTGGTCCAGAAGAGCTTCAAGTGCTCCATAACTTTGTCCGGATGATATTTAGAGAGAGCAATACCCAACTCCGTAAACATACCCATGTGGGCTCTCTCCAGACCAAGACCAGCTTCCAGAACAGCAATGAGCTCATCGAAATAGCCATTACGCTCATACTGGTGAACTAGATCCTGCAATTCTTCAGCGTGTACAATGAGATTGAGACCGCAAATTTGAGCAAGGCGGAATTCCTTCTTAGAAACGCACGCCTCGTTGACTTGCTTCCATACTTTGATGTTGTTGGCTTTCCGAGCACACTCAACAGCGGCCTGGTACTCTTCCAGGTGGACAAGAGTTGTGGCAAGTTTCGCCCAGTTGGAGATGCTTGTGTAGAAGATCTTTGCAGCTTCATGAAAGCCTTCCTCATAAGCCTTATCACCAGACGCCTCGACATCTGCGACGTTAATACCTCGCAAGAAGTCCTCAAGCTCACTCAGTTGATCTAGCCTAGCATAGCAGAAAGCCAAGGCAGTATCAACGGCGGGCTCCCGTAACGTTTTCCGAGCCATTTTAAGGAACTCGACAAGGTCCTCGTCCTTCCCAGCATGAGTGGCGGTTTCGATTACCTCATTGTAATTCGACGGGTCACCAGCTCGTATATACGAAGCAATGGAGTCAGAGACACGGAGGCCATCCAGCTGAGCCTTGGCAACCTTGCTCCAAACTTCGGGAAGTTCAACACGCTCCGCATATTCTTGTGCACGGTCGATGCTAACAATGGAATCGACAAGTACATTGGTGGCAGCCAGATGGTTGTCAACCTTCTTGTATATTTCGAAAGCCTCCTCGTAGAGACCCACAGAAATACACATCGTTGCAATTTCATCCGCGTTGAACTCGGAAAGTTTATGGATGTAATCCATCAGGCGACCTTTATCAGCCTTGGCAGCGGTAAGCATCATCAGGTTTTGCAAGCTGCTATTATCACTGAAAGGCGACGGTTCCAAGATAATCTTCTCCAAAAGTTCGATGAGTTCGCCAGGTAAGTCTGCATCAAGGAAGGCCTTGACGGCGACAGACACTTTATCTGGTTCCGCAGACTCAGGCACAGCAGTGGCAATAACTTGATCTACTAACGCTCGGCGGTGGACGTTATTGGCATTGAGAACAAAAGCCCATATTTCGGGATCAGCACGTTCCAGAAGGTATCGAGCTTGAGCGCGGTACATAGAGTTCTCGTTAGTGATATTGATGAGCTCAAGATCATTCTGCCCCTTGCGATAAGCAATATAAGCAAGATTGGGGTCGCGCTTCTCGCAGTACTTTCCAACAGTAAGGGTATCGTAGAGATCGTTCTCCTTCAAGAATTTTTCTGGGTTGTTATTGCTATCGATATAAATCTTAGCAAGGGCGTTGTAAACTGCTTGTTGCTGGTTCCCGGTGGCAAGCGTATTCTCCAGGAATGGGAGAAGGATTTTAAGGCGATTCCGGGACTCGACCTCAGAGACAAGGTCATCTATAGGGATTGACGCTGCGTCAACAGTAGACAGAAGGTTCTTGATGATGCTCTCTTCGCAATCAACATCCAACAGTCCGCCAACCACAGCTGGAGTTCTAGACGGGTTCACTCGTTGAACGTAGACCTCGATGGACCGATACTGCTGGCTCTGGTAAAGATATAGAACAAGATCATGAATGAAATTGAACCGGTCACAGACAATGATCAAAGGCAGTTGCTCCGTTAAGCGAGCCTCCTTCAAGAAATTCTTAACTTTCTCTGGGTTGTAATAATTGCTTTCCCGACATATGCGCTCTACCTCGGTCAGCTGGTTCATCGTCGTCGCTGCTTCGATATATTTGAAATGAACATCTGGATCTTCGCTTAGGTTCACAATGCTGCCAAGGTAATAGTAAAGGCCTTCTGCAGTTCGGTACTTCTCCAAGAGATTGATCAAGTTAGTCGGCCCCAGGAGATCCGAAAACTTAGTGGCAATCTGAACAACAGCCGACAAATTTTGGCGGAGGTTGGCTTTGAGCATCTCGTTCATGCACTCCAAACACTGCTCGACTGACAAGCGCCCGAAATAATTTATTAACCATTCAGGGTTCAACTTGTCGGTGCGGACAATATTTCGCATGATAACAGCAGGATCGTCAGTGTTCTCCAAAGCACGTTGATAGAGCTGCGCATTTTCACAGAGTTGCGATACTCTGGCTTTATCGTAGTATGTAAACATCTCGTTGCCAAGGATTGCATCTGCGACCTGCGGGGCGTTGACAAGGTTCATCTCAAGCAATCTCGTCTGGAGGTTTGCATGTTCGGGTTTGTTATCTTTGAGTGCATCGAGCAAGAAAGCAGTCGCTTGTTGAACCATATTCTGAGAAATGAAGACATCAACAACACGGTCAAGATCCACAAGAGCGCCATTTTCATCGCTGGCAAGCTGCGCAGCGAATTCCGCACACTTCTCAGGGTTGACGCGCACAATATGCTGGAGGAGTTGAATGTAGTCTGGCTGGTATCCGACTTGCTTCGAGAAGGCCAAAATTTTGTCAAACTGGCCAGTTTCGGCAAACCCGGCCACCACCTTGTGTGGGACATTGGCTTTCAAGTAGATGTTGAGAGCAAGATTCATATCATGTGGGCGGACCATATCACCCAGCTCCTCAGAACACCCAAGCTTGTCTTCAGACATCCATTTCTCCAATAGATGTTTTCGGCCTTGCTGCAGCACAGGTCTCACAAGCTCCACACTCTCATATTGGTTCATGCCGCCTTGATCGAGAAGCATTCCGAAGTATTGCAAGATAACCGACATACCTGTCGCGGGCTGCGGAGCATTCTTGAGGAGGTTGATGGTCGCAGGCGTACGAAGGAATCCGCGAGGAGAGTTGGCAGCGATCTTGGCAGCTTGGACATAATCTCCTCGCGCGACCATAGAGTCGAACTCTCTCTTAAGGAAGTCATCCGCTCCTGGAAGTCCTCCCTTCGACGCGAGCCTGACTGCAAGTCCTTCGTTGTTTAGCTTTTGCAGAATGTACGGGATTACCTTGTCCTCGTCGACGCTGACGGCAAGCACCTGGCCATCGCGGTTGACACCAAGAAGACCCGCCGATTCCGAATCTGGGGCCGTGGCGAATATAGATCTAGAAGAAATTCTGTTCAAAAACAGACAGCTACCACTTTCTAAGTCGTAGAGATGAATGAAGCCGAACATCGTCACGATGTAAGCGATATCGTACTTTTTAGAAAGTTGAATGGAAGAAGGAAAATCTGTTATGGCCTCCGGCGGGAAAAAAAGCTGTTCAGCCTTCTTGGGAAATTTCTTGGTAGGGTTCTCGTTGTCAATTTCCACAATGTGTATTTTAGCAGCGGTTGCAGTTCGAACGGCAAACGTAAAAATCTTTGTCTCGGCGGGGTTTCCAGCGACGCGGATTTTGCCAAAGGCAGCTGCGTGTCCCTCAATTATCTGCGATTCGGAACGTGCTCGGGAATGGAGTATGATCTTCCCCAGAGCGGGCTTGGTGTTGTCTTGGGCTTGAACGGCAATAGTTGCCGTCCATTGCTCATCATCTGTAGTTTGGTAGTTGAATATTTTCCAGTTCTAGGAGCAGGAGGGTTGGTCAGAAACAGTCAAATCCGCGAGAGGGGACAGGCGGTTAAATAAACAATATAAAAGTAAACACACCTCCTCATCTATTCTGTCCTTATACTTAGAAACCTCGACAGGCTGAGTTTTTTCACCGAAAACGTCCCAGTGGTAGGCATGAGTAGCCGTCACTAGGGCAAGAGACCGTTCGTTAATCCATTTCCAGTACAATATCTTAACCCTGAATCTAACATCCTTGAGTATCTGTTCGGTCTGGAGATTTATAATTCGGAGGTTTCCATCTTCCGACCTAACGGCGAGAATGTGTTTATTCCAGTGCATAATAGCACTCTCGCCGGGGATGGAACGACGGAAGACTTCATCTGGACTTTTCGGATTGACAACAACGATCTGCTGTTGTCCACCGACATTCTGTCGTACGCAGACAAAGCGGTCGGATTCGACGGTCTGTTTGTGTGATCGTGAGACGGTTAGTCTCAAATGGAACAAAACAGGGCACGCGCTGATGCCTTAACAAAGGGGCGGGAAAAGAAAAGGGCAGCTTACACATGTACTAGGGAAAATAGCGTTCTCCTAGATCGCGGAATGGGGGTATTAGCCCGCTATTCATTTATCTTTGAAATTTACTACCAGCGTTGATGGGGATGCGCAGTTTCCGCATTGAGCCGCCATGGGATTTCGCGTTGGAAGATAAGGTCCCTCTCCATATGGGGTGGGTGGGTGAGTCAAAACGTACCGAAATGCCAATGGATTTCAACTAAAGACAGCAGGACAGAAACCAAATGTCAGTTTCGAATCTTCATGGGAGCATGCTGGAGTTAGAAGCCGGGGCAACGGGAAATACCTGTAAAAGCTCAGTGAGCTTGATTGGAATATCTGCTGGATTGGCCATGGTTGCGAGCGCCGGAGGATGACGACCTCATGCACCCAACAAAAAACGCCTTGCGCAAAAGAGCAGAGTCGCAGGTAAAGGAAATAGCAAAGACGCGACCAAAACCAAGAAGAAGGAAAAGCAGGAAATAGGAGAAGAGAGAAAAAGGAAGAAAATGTGGTATTGGGGTGGAATGGGAATGGGGATACGATTAGCTTGTTGTTGTCTGATGGGAGAAACCAGCCTCAGCAGGAGATTGAAGCCAGCCAGGAGGAGATGTTGTCGTGGCCTGGGCTTTCGGTCACGTGGTATGGCGGTGCCTGTTTCAAGGTTGCGTTAGTTAGGGGATATTTATTATTTACTACATATTATGTACAGTAGTATACATGAAAGAAATTATACATCTGCGTCTTCATATTTCTCATAGGTTATTATTATCCTTTTTGTCACTTCAGAACAGGAACGGTTGCAATAATATCGTGACTTCATCTCCCCTTCCATCTTCCCTTGTCCCCAACTCTCCAATTGCTTCCCTTTCCTTCTCCCCCTTCCATCATGAAGGAAAAGTGAAGACGATCCAGTCTCCGGGCCCTGGCGCATTGAGAGAGAAAGAAATGACTTCCGCGAGTAGCGTCATTACCATATCATATCATAAACCCCGTAGCAGCACAAAGGTGACGAATATAGGAGCTGACACTCTTCTCTCTTTTCCAATCAGCGCGAAAACCATGTAAGCAAAAAGGCATAAAAAGTGCCGAGTTACGGAGTACTCAGTTACTGGTTTTGTGTAGTCTAGAGCCTCCCACCAAATCTCCCGAATGCATTTAGTTAATGAAATATATATATCATGTGCTGTACATACCCATACCCGTCTTCCCTTTCCCGCCATATTCCCGAGACATTGGTTCTCTGTTCTATATTGTTTCTGTAACAATATGATGAGCATGCCTAGCCAAACCACGGGGTTTCGCCCCATTCTCATAGTCACTGTTAGGTAACTGAGTCTGGCTGTGTATTTGGGGATAATATAGCCTATAGCGTTAAGGCCAAGGATAAAATAAAAAGAAAAGAGCCCATCGATATGATATGCCCGTGCTCGAATATATATATATATATATGTTTTGCATTACTTCGGAATACCTAGGCATTCAGGCGCCTCCGCTTCACATCAGGGTGAATCAGAACCCATCACAATTCAAAAATAACAATCAACATAAACATCGCCGTCGACTTTTATAGTTATCTATTTTTCCATTTTTAGACCTCCAGTGGTTAATCAGGAAACATAATCGAAGAAATAAAGAAACATGTATAAGAAAATAAAATAAAAAAATCAGTGATGGAACAACCGAATCCCCTGCTCCACGAACACAATCCCCAGTTTCTCCGCCGTCTCAAAGACAGGACCATCATTCTGGCTTCCGCTCGGTGCAGCGATGTATTTAACACCAGACCGTGCGGCGCGGAACACGTTGTCAACGAAGGGGAACTGTTTAAAGGAAAAGAAAAAAGAGCAGACATATTAGCAACCACGTACGAGAACCGAAAAAAAAAAAAAAAAAAAAAAAAAGGGGAGGGGGGGACTCACAAAAGCATCCGACGAGACCGCCACCTCTCCCAACTGCTCCAACCACCCATCCCGCTCCTCAACCGTAAACGGCACAGGCACACACCCGTCCTCAAACACCTTCTCAAAATCCGCCTTCTCAACGGCATTGCCCGGCACCTGTCCGGAACACAACATATCAATCGCATTACTCTTCTCCGCCCGCTTCGTCCCCGGTTTCCACCGTATACTCAGCGCCCGCTCATGGAACCGCATCCACCAGTTATCTGCCTTATCGCCCGCCAGGCGCGTGCAGTGGATGCGGCTCTGCTGGCCCGCGCCGAGGCCGATGACTTGCCCGTTCAGCGCGTAGCAGACGGAGTTCGACTGAGTGTATTTGAGCGCGATGGTGGCGACGGTGAGGTCGCGCAGGGCGGAGTCGGGGAGTTTCTTCAGGTCCTTGGGTGTGACGATGGAGGTGAAGGAGCTGTTTGGGGTGGATGGTGGCGTCGTTGCGGTGTTGGGAGAGCTGGACGCCGTAGACGGAGCGGGTTTCGTCGGCGGGCGGGTTATAGGCCTCGTCCATTTGGAGGACGAGATATTTGCCGCCCTTTTTCTTGGTGAGGAGGGCTAGGGCCTCGGGGGTGTAGCCTGGCGCGATGACGCCGTCGGAGACTTCACGGGAGATGATCTTGGCGGTTGGGACGTCGACGATGTCGGAGAGGGCGATGACGTCGCCGAAACTGGACATGCGGTCTGCGCCTCTGGCGCGGGCGTATGCCTGTGCCAATCCCGACTCGTCGATGCCGGCGATATCGTCGACCATGTAGACCTTCTTCTCCTTCTCGTTCAGTGGGACGCCAATGGCGGCACCGGCGGGAGAAACGTGCTTGAAGCTGGCGGCAGCTGGGTAGCCTAGGGCCTGCTTCAATTCTTTAACGAGTGGCCATGCGTTCAAAGCGTCGAGAAGGTTGATATATCCTGGAGACCCGCCAAGGACCTTGAATGGGAGCTGGCCCTGCCTGGTGAAGGCGCAAGCGGGTTTCTGGTGTGGATTCGCGCCATAACGAAGCGGCATGTACTGTGTACCAGCAGCGTACTGCTTCCTGAAGAAGCCTGAGATCGCCTCGTCATAGTCTGCAGTGTGCTCAAACGCCTTGAGAGCATAAAGCTTCCGGTTCTTCTCTGAAACATCCCCCGCCTCCAACTGGCTTAGGAATTCCGGGTAATCGCTCGGATCGCTGAGAATGGTGACCCGGGCATGGTTCTTAGCCGCAGCGCGCAGTAGTGTGACACCTCCAATATCAATGTCCTCGACAGCCTCCTCCATGGTAACATTGACCTTGGCCACAGTCTCCTTGAATGGGTATAGGTTGCAGACGACATAGTCGACCTTCGCGATCTTCTGGTCTGCCAGATCCTGTTCGTCGGACTCGATATTCCGGGCGAGAATTCCGCCGTGGACTGCAGGATGAAGGGTCTTCACACGACCACCCAGCATTTCGGGGGCGTGCGTGATGGCGGATACATCCCTGGCTCCATCAGTAATTTTGATTTGTGATTAAAAAAAAAAAAAAAAAAAAAAAAAAAAAAAAAAAAAACTCCAATTGATATTATAAAAAAAATATGCCCGCCCTTAACAGAGGCGACCAACTCACTCAACCGGAAATCCAGCCTCCCGAATCATCTTCGCCGTACCGCCAGACGCGAGCAAGCGAACATTGTATTGGATGAGGCCCTTGGCCAGATCTAGCAAGCCAGTTTTGTCGTAGACCGACAGGATCGCTGCAGCAATTCAAAGCATGCATGAACAAGGTCAGCAATGAAAAAAGAAAGCAGTAGAAGTATTTAGTAACTAAGGATAAATAGAAAAAAAGGTAAGGGAGATAGATGCATGTGTACCCGACTTCTGCGCCATCTTATTCCGAAAATACCTGAGAGCAGGTCTGTCGAGCTTGGTAGGGTCGAGGGATTTCTTTAGCACCTGCGCGGGTGGGAAGTCATCAGCCATAACTAAGTTCTCGTATACTGCGTAATGTGCGCTCTTCCCTGCGCAACACAGGGTTCATAGGAATAGTAGCGACAAGAGCGGTGAATTTCAAAGAGCAGAAAAGCTGAAATTAAAAGGAACCGTAAAAAAGGAACGGAAACGCAAAGAAGAAGAGCCTTGACAGAACCCGCAGCCTGTCACGATAGGGGTGTTTTTGGGAGGAGGGAGGGAGGGAGAGGGGGGGGTTGTATCGTCTCTCATCTCTCTCCTTCTCTCTCTCCTCTCCCCTCTTCTCCCCCCACCTAGACACGCTATCAGATCACACCAGACCGCCAGCCAGAGGGTACAATGGCTGAATAGTATGGTAGTAGTGCAGTTGCGAGAAGAGGGGCACTGATGACAAGGACTATGATAGGTATAGGAGGAGCTGGGCATGCAAATGCTCACCAGGAGGTTTAGAATATCCAATTGCTATAGCTGTCTCGCTGACAGTTGGCTAAAATATAGTAAGAAAAAGGAAATAGAGGGAACGGGAGTAAATAAAGTAAAACGAAAAAAAAAATTAAAAAAATACTCAAAGTTACTTCATAAATCCGCTTGATAATACGCATCTTTTTCTGGCTCGAAGATCAAACCCCACCAACCAGCGCGATCTTATGTAATCCCCGTCCTGCGATGCCGCGCCAAACAAGACAAACACCACGTCGCATCACATGACCCCCTCCTAGCCCTCAAAACCATCTCGAAATTTTCCTCCGCCGCCTTTTTTTTTTTCTTTTCTTCTTCTTTTCCACGAACAACGCAAAAAAAAAATAAACAACATTCTACAAAAAAGCGTTCCTACAAAGGCTTTTTTCTTCATAAAAATTGCCCATGAGGTATGGAAATCGTCTATTAGAATGGAGAGTAAATAATGGCCCCGGATTTAATCCGGCCTTTTATGTCGTCGGTCTTGGGTGCAGTGTCACTCTCCCCCTTCATCTTCTTTTAGACGAGGGCTGTGGGTGGGATTGCAATGATTGGCGGGACATTTAAAAAATAACTCCTCTATTATTTGCTGATGGATTGTGGGGAGAGGGGGGGGTGGTTAATCTACTCGTCTACATATTTGCTCGTTGGCTGGATGGGGCCTCTGCATATATATATATGTACAGAGATGGAGTGGATGGAAGCAAGAGGTTTAAGAATTGGGCTTCGCCATTGGAAATACAATAGCTTATGTCGCTATGGACACGTTTCGAATCGATGGAGGATGGGGAAGATGTTGATCAAGGAGGGTTAGCATAATAATAATACATATCTCAATCATTCAAGCAGACAGTAAAGAATACATGCCCAGAGAATCGAACCCTAAACACATGCATCTACATGTTTCTTAGATACAACCTCCCCGAGAGAAAAATGAAAAAGCTCCCCACTCCACTGCCATTAACATAGTTGAGATGTAAATAAGCGTCCTTTTCTCCCGGCCATCTTCCCCATAGCTCATCAAATGCGCATCACAGCCTCCCCTTTTATTCCCGAATGCAGCAGAAACCCGTATATATATAGTATACACAAACCTCATTGCATCGCATAACCCGATAATTAAGAGAATTTAGAAAAAAAAAAGAGCCAGAGAATTAAAGAGGCAAAAGAAGTAAGAGAAACAAAAAGCAATTCAGCCCCCTTATCCCCTTCCTTACACCATTAAAAACACAGCAATATCTATCTGCACCTCCCAAAATTCACCTTCCCCCACCCACTGCCAACCGCCTCCCAATATTCCCAAAACAAACGCAGCTACAAAACAACACGCTGGCAATCCACGTCCCCACCGCAATACTCTCCTGCGACGCAAGGAGCATTCCGCCTGAACCAGCAATAGCGTTAGCTTCTCCAACATTCGCAGTTGGCGCCGGCACGACGTCCGGGTTCACGCCCAGCCACGTGACCATGCCCAGCAGACCGACGGCGGTGGAGAGCATGAAGCCTGGCTTTGAGCGGTCGATGAGGTACCAGAGGAACGGGTTGACGAGCGCGAGGGTTAGGGAGACTTGGAGGGTGGATTGCCAGGGAAGTTTGCGCTAGATTGGGGGTTAGCTTAGATGTATGATCTGGTAGTGGTGGTGGTTGTGTTGGCGACGGTGATGGTTATAGTGATAGAGGGTGTAAATAAATGTCTGATGTGTAGATTACTTACAATCGCAAATGCAATGCCCACAAACGCACCGATGCTCCTGACAACCTGATTCCAATCGGCTGCTATGGACTGGGAACTCTTCAATTGTTGCCCCCCGTTCACTTTCACATTTACCTTCCCATCCCCACTTCCACTTCCACTCCCGGTCAAATCCCTATTGCTAACCTCTACATTCCCGCCACCCCCATCCATCTTCTCTCCTACCCCTGCACCGTCCTCCTCCCCCTCGCCATCTCCTCCGACAAACTCCTCCCAAACAACATCAAACCACGGCAACAGTCCTCCCAGCGCCACGCCCGCCCCACCCCAGAACACCATATACACCCACGACCCGCGCCTGATGAGATCGATGTTCTCGATCTTGATGGGCGTCACGCGCGGGTTGTCATGTAGGTGGGTGATGATGATGCCGTAAGCGACGCCAAAGATGAAGAGTAGAGCGCTGCGGAGGAGGAGAGGGAGATAGAAGGTGCGCAGGGTGCGGCGGCGGTGGAGGAGACGTGGTGTGCGTATGTGTCTGGGGTGTATGGAAGAAGGGGGGTTTGAGATTAGCGTGGAACCGTTTGTTGGTTTTCTGGTGGCGGCGGTCGCGGCGGTAGTAGTAGTAGTAGTAGTAGTGGAAGTGGTAGAAAGGGGGAAGCGCGCGTTGTTCGAGATTGAGGTGGGTGTTTGGGCACCGCTGGCGACGGCGTCCCAGGAGGAGAGCTCATCGCGGGGACTATCGAGGGTAGTGGGTGAGTAGATTCCGAGGAGGGTGGAGGAGGTGAGGTTGAGGATCGAGCGGGTGCGGTGGGCGGCGAGGGAGTCTTTGGAGGAGGGATCGAGAGCGTTTTGGTTGGGAGCTGATTCTTCTAAGATCGGGGTAGATGGTTCAGAGGGTTCGGTGGAGGGGGAGGAGGCGGCGAGCTCAAAGGGTTTCCGGGCACGCGGGCGGAGGATTGGGGGTTCGTGGTGGTCCATGTCGGGAGATTTGCTGTTCGCCTTTAGATGTTGGTTTTTGTTGGTTTTGTTGGTGTTGAATGGTTGGAGCAGAGGGTAGGGATTTAGGGGTTTAGGAGTTATATTCCGGACATTTAGTTGGTTGGTTGTATTATTGTATGGCTCTGGCAGACATGGAGGAGGTTTCTCGCACAGGGGAACGAAGTCGCACAGGACAGATAAAATAACTTTTTTTTGGCTAGCGGGGATTGTACGACGGAGAACTAGTTCGATAAGTTAGTTATTTAGCTGTCTGGACGTAGCACTTTGGGAGAAATGATTCCGAGTAAAGCAGACAAAGCAAAAGAAGAGCCAGCAAAAGGGCTCAGTGATACGCGCAGGTAGTCAGTCCTGCAGCAGATATATTGTATATCTTATACAGAACATAAGAATGAGTATTTGTTGTTGTTGATGTTGATGATGTTGATGTTGATGGTGAAAGGAGTGTCACATGCTAATAATGAGGAGCTTAGTCAGCAGCTTCACCCCCCGGACAGGTTTGAGAGTTGTATACAAAGTACAGACATCATCACAGGCTCACAGCCAACTATACAGACTGTAGTTGAGATGAGTCTTTGTTTTCCTGGCTTCTGTGTTCTTTCTTTTTATAGATTGAAATATAGATGAATCAACGCTTTAAGCGTTTCAGGAGGGTGAGGAAGGATGTGTGTATTGCCACACATCCAGGATTTGAACAAGTCAGTCATTGATAGAGAATCTTTTTTTTCTCATGGAACAATTGAGATTGAACTCAGGTTTTGAAATCAGTTCACAGCTCTCACTCTCATGCTTGTTGATGAGATACTCTTTGAATATAACAACTTTCCCGTGCTGGGATCCTCCTCAGACAGTTCCCTACAGAACCGCGTCCGATACATACATATATATATATAGATATATTTTTGATGTCAATACACCGGGCTGTGTTCATCCACTCTGCAGATGAAGACACTGTAGAGACAGCGATGTTAGATAGTGTGCACATTGATCTCATGAGAACCTTTTTCATGATTGAGTTGGTCTTGAAATGAAATCGATTTATTATCTGATAATAAATAAAAGAGTAATTTGTTCAATAGAAGTGAGTGGGTTTTCCAGTCTGATAACCCATTCTCTGCCTAATAAGAAGGGTTCTTTCTCTCTATCTTTTTCTACCCAGCATCATCAATGGTAACTTATCCGCGGCTTGCTGCTGTGGGATGCAGACTGAAATGTTGTTGCTGCCAAGTTGTTGCTGAGGAGCTTGTCGCAGTGAATGTATGTATGTATTGCTTTGCTTTCACTTGCCTTCTTCCATGGATTGCCGAAAAGCTGGATGTTATCTCCTCGCAGTCAACTCGATTTCTACACTGTCAGAACTCACAGCTCCATTGACTCTAACGGGAAGTTTGCTCTCTCCGCTGTCTTTCTTTCTTTTAGTTTCTTTGTGGGAAAAGCATAGATACCATACAGAGAGTAAAGGTCCCATTCATTAGGAAGTATATATAGAAAAACGGGCAGAATAAGAAGAGAAAAAGAAGAAGACACAAGAAAAGAGAAAAATAGCGCAAACCACATCCATTCATCCGTCAGCCATAACTTGATCGCCATCACTCTCCCCCTCCATCTCCAAACTCTCACCATCATCGTCATCATCACCATCATCGTCATCACCATGATTTTCGCCAGATTCTTCCCCCTCCTCCTCCCCTTCTTCATCGTCCTCCTCCTCAATCTCATCCGTATCATCCCCCGGACCCTGTCTGTGCTCACTAAGCATCGTCTCATCCCCGTCCCCATCACCCAAGTAACTTGATCCCTCAACATCACTATCCCGATAAGAATCCACCATCACAGCGCTAGAATAGCGCGGTTTCGGCACTGCTACGTCTCCCGGCAACGACTCTTCAACCCCAGGCTGTTCCGCCCTTGGTGCGTCCAGAGGTGGGAGCGGTCGTGATGCCTTTTGCAGCTGGTGCTGCTGCTCCTTGTGAGACCGAACCGCCGAGGGAGATGAGGAGGGCGCTACTGCGTCGGATTCTACCTCCACTTCGACTTCCATTCCCATTTCTGCGTCTGCAGACTCGCTTTCACCGTCGCGTTCTGCTTCTGTTTCTGCCTCTGCCTCTGCCTGTAGGGTTGTAGTTTCCGGCGCTGGCATGGCATCATCATCGTCGTCGTCGCGACGCTTGCGCTTCCGCGGACGAGGACGTGCTTTGCCATCTCCATCCCCATTGGATTCTCCTAACAACTCATTATCAATATCATCGAGAGCCGCATCCCTATCCCGATCTCCACCGGCATGACTTAAGTCGTCTGAAGAGGGCGTTGCGCCCGCGTTGGCGACATCCGGTACAGATAGATGATCAGAGGCAGTAGTAGCGTCACCGCCCTTCTCTCCCTTCATTGTCGTAGTTGTTTCCGTGTTTGTATCAGCTGTATTAGCCACAGGTTGTGTAGCAGAGGTAGCACCAGTCGCGCGTGAGCGCCCAGTTGATGCCCGCTGCTTCCGCCCACCACCCGTAGACTGGCGACTACGGGTTGACGTCCCCGGTCTCGCGCGGGGTTTCTTCTCTGGCACCCCTTCTTCCTCAGTCGGCTCTGCCACGGCCTTCGGTTTCCGTCTTGAGCGGCTTTTGGGTTTCGAAGGACGAGTGGGGGTGAGGATGTTGTCATTATCAGCTTCGGCAGCCGGGTTACGAATCTCATTTATGAACGACACATCCCCATCACCAATGGCAGCCCGATGCCTCTCAGCCTCAGCCTCGGCCTCAGCTTCAGCCAGTTTCTCCCTCTCTCTCTCCCTCTCCCTCTCCGCTTTCCTCCTCGCATCCTCAACCATACAATCCCAATCCCACCGTTGTAGCCTCCTCGCCGCTCTCTTCAGCACAGAAAGGTAAAACCCCGCCGCCTCGCCATAATCCTCCTCTCCGTCGGGGTGCGGGCACACCCCGCCTTTCCCCCACGAATCCTCATCATCCGTATCATAATCCTCTGGCAGGTTCTGTAATAACCGCCCCGCCCGCACGAAGGGGACCTCGCCCTGACGGCGTGCTCGGATTTCCTTTAGTGCTTCCGTCCGGCGTTGAGCAAGGAGGTAATCGACACGTTGTTTGCGGTTTTGTTCAACAGCAAGCTGATGTTGGGTTAACGGACGGGGGCGGCGGGCGCTGCCGCTACCCGCGGGCTGGTGTTGATGTGATCCTACGGCGCGGGAACTAGAGCTTGCACGAGCGCCGGGACCGGCACCGAACTGGTTGAGGACCGGATGTGCTGAACCGGGAGGGGCAGGGGAGATGGCGTCTGGCGTCTGGTCCATTCGCGTCTTGAGGACGAGACGGCGCGGCTGCGTAGTTCTGAAAGAAGAGCGGTTTGTCGAAGATTCGCGCTTGGCGCGCCGTCCTGCGCGGTATCGGGTTGGCAACTCTATTTCGTCGTCCACATTGTATTCAGCGCCTGTGGTGCGGCCAGTCATACTTTGTCTGTCTCCTGTTCCAAGCTCAGAGTTTAAGTCATCGCTCGTGTAGTCAAGAGCTGGGCCTAGGGTATATCGGATTAGCGGGATATTGGGAGAACGAGAAGGTAGACATTTTTTAATTCAGACAAAACCTACCTTTCTTTGGCCTCTTGCCCGACCTGAAAGTAGTATCATCTTCTTCCAGGATCCCTACAAAATCGGTAAAATTAGTCTTGGGGCCTTGCTGATGATAACGGCTCGTTTAAGACCGGAAAGGAAAAAGAAAACCCTACGCTTTCTCTCCCGTTGCTTCTCCTCCCCATACCGAATCTCTTCCGCCGTATCCACATTTTCTGCATCAGCCTCGGCCTCTGTTAGCGGCTCAAAGGCCGGTACCTTCAATGGCAGCCCATCAGTGCCTTCGCCAACCAGTCCCGGTCCAAACGGATTATTCAAAGCATCATGTGTCGAAAAGTCACTTTCGAGATAATACCACATGAGCCAAAGAAAAGCCCTTGCGCGACTTCTACTGCTCAGACTGGAGCGCATGACTAAGTCGAAGAAGTCGCGGGGAGCGAAGAAGTGTAGTTCGGATATTCGTGGAGCATATTGTGAGAGGACGAAGATGAGGTTTACAGGGTTTGTACGGGGGATGGACGCCTGCTTGATTTTTTCGATGGTGTTTGGTTGATCGGTGTCCTCCGAGGCACCCTTTAGGATTGATTTAAGCCTGGGCGCGTCTTGAAGCTGTTTGTAGGCGTTTGGGTCCTGGTGGGCTTGTAGGGAGGGGATAGAGTGGTATGTTCGTAGCTGAGCGCGCATTTCCGGAAAGACTGTACGGTAGTAAATCGAACAGTTAGTAAATAAATTTTGTAACAGAGAAGAGCGTCGTCATAATCACGGTTTCTTCTGGGAGGAATCCTCACAGTTAAGGGTAGTATTCATCCTCCCGAAGTTCACCAACAGACAAACCATAGCCATGCTAATCGCTGCGGCCTTATCATTCTGTAACTTGTCTTTCAGAATCTTGCTGGTCTTGCTACTCCTCGCCATGGCATCGATGTATATATCTGCAAAATCCAGCCCTTTTGCACCGTCTGACAGCCGCGTAAACACAGGGGTCTTATCCTCGAAAACAAGTTTCAAAAACGCATACTGTATATCCTTCCGCCACAGCGGGATTCCATCATCCTTCTTTAGATGTCGGATCTTGTTGCCCGAGTATACAGACCCGATGGTGCCATTCGCCTGTCGCCGTATTCCTACAGTCGCGCTGACAGTGGTTGAGTGGAAATTGCTGCTGGCGGTGTTACTCCGTTTCGTATTACCAGTAGCATCATGATCATCCGAGGAGCGGTGGGCTTGCGACTGCGACTGCGACTGTGAATGGGACTGCGAAGCATTTTGATGAGAGCGTCCATTGCTGTCCTTGTTGGACTTCTTCTTCTCCTCCTTGGTCTCGTCCTTGACTTCCTCTTCTCTCTCTACCTCTTCCCCTTCCTTTCCATCGCCGCCACTTTGACCCTCACGTTCACCATCGTCTTTGTCACCATCCCGCGGCTGCGGGGACTTAGGCGGCCAGTCCTGCCAAGTGCCGGACTCAGTCCAAAAGCCCTGGATGGAATGGTTGGGGTCATCGAGGTAACTGCGTTGGCGGCCACCCTTTGAACCCGGCTCTGGTTCGAGGAGTCGATTTACACTGGCTCGAGGGAGCGGGTAGCGGTCTGCGGGTAAGGGGAAGTCCTTGCGGGAACCCGCGTAGTAACCGCCATTGGGGTGTTCAAGGTGGTCGTCCTTCTCGGGCTCGAAGGCACCGCTGGGTTTGTGGGAATCTGCGGGGGGCTGCGTGGCCATGGTTGTGTCCGGGTCATTGAGGGTAGATTGATGGTGGTGGCGCTCGTCTTCCTCAGCTGTCGTGGAGGTTTTTGGGGCTTCGGGTCGGGGGGAAGCGTCGCGAGACATGGAGATTATGCTGCTCGCCATTGCTATTGGGGGGGGGGGGGGGGGGGGGGGGGGTCTAGATAAGCAGGTGTAGGGTCATTGTAGATACGGCATGTAAGAGGTTTGGTCAAGG